CTTTTGAAACTGGCTGCTCTAAACATGGAGTGGATGGGCCATGGCCAAAGAGCACTGCTTTGGGGCCCTTGGGGCCCAACTACGTGTGTTGGTAGTTGGGGTTATAGTACTTGGGCCCAGCAATGGCGCTGGTGGCCCAGGGAATGCCGTGACTATAGAAGTCATGCATTTGAACTCTTTAACATGTGAACTAAGTGTAGGAGTTGTACAGTTTGACACGCGCACTTTGCAGCCTTTTGCATCAAGGACAAAAAGGGTTTGACCGCTTTCGCATGGTAGCGGAGCTGGTTACCTGGAACTCGCCGTCGAGGACCAGGACCGGTTCCACGGGTAACACCGTTCTGTGAGCGGGTGATACCGCAGCTGCGACAGTAGCAGCGCGGGAACAGCGGCTCCGGGCAACCGGTGCGGCAAGCCGTCGCCACGGGCAAGGGCGGCAAAAAGCTCAAGCTCATCTGGTTCAGCAAGCAAGGAGGTTGCAGCGCCAAAGGCCAGGCAATTGCCATCGCCTCCGGGCACGGCGCCTTCCGTAGTGACACAAGACATGATTTCGAACATCGTCCAAGGTGATGTGATCAACGCGTTTGATTGCTGCAGGGAGAATGCGGTAAAAGAGCGTCTTGGAGAGAATCATGGTTTAGAGAAAGACTTGGAGACTGTTGAGAGCACTTTTGAGACATATTTGAAAAGGAAACAGGCAAGTTTGCAGAACATTGCAAATGTCATGGATTGGATGGACAGCATCATGCTAGAGGCCGATGATATGAAGAAGGCACGGCTTGATGAGATTAGGAACTTGAGCAAACATTCAAGGCATTCACAGTGAGAGACAGACGCGAATTGCCAAAGGACTTGACAGTGTTTGGACACCGATGGGTTGACAAAGTGTCCGAAGGAATCTGCAAAGCAAGGTTGACGTGCCAAGACTTCAAGAAGAAGCAGAGCCCTGAGGAACGACTCAGCTCAGAGCAGGGCACAAATTTCTGTCCGACACCTAGTTCAGTGACATGCAAGATCGTTGAAGTTTACAGTTTGTTGCATCAATTTCCACGTGTGAAGGCAGATTTGACATCAGCGTTCCTGATTGCCAAAGATGGAGGTGACAAGCAGGGACAACCTGCTTTCATGAGGCCACCCAAGGAATGGCTTGAAGAATATGACACCTGGATTTTGAGCCAGGAAAAGGAAATTCAGGAGTGCCTCAAAGACGTACCTCGTGAGGAGCTCATTTGGCAGGTTGATGGCAACATCTATGGAAGAAAATCTGCAGCAGCTCAATACCGGGATCGACCTGAGGAGATGCTCACCAACAAGGTTTCCGGGAGATACCGGTTCAAGAGGGGCAAACTAGATGCTTGTGTGTATCGGTGTGAACTCACGGGAACCGTTCTCATTCACCACATCGACGATTTTGATATGTGTGGACCACATCGACGATTGATTTGCTTACTGTTCAATTTCCGGGGAATGGTTGCAAGCTCAAAATGGGCCACTTGGAATTCCCTGATGTTGGCAGTAAAGTCAGCTCCGAATTTTTGGGAAGAACCAAAATTAATGTTGAGGGGGCTATTATCACAAAGCCACATGAGAGGCATGGCAAACCATTTTGAAGGCACTTGGACTGGAGGATTGCAAACCTAGCCCAGTACCAGGAAAGAAGCTCGACCTCAAGCAGGACCAGGAGCTAAGTGCAGCTGAAAGGGAAACCTATGCAAGTTGCGTGGGCAGTGCAATTTACCTTTCACAGGATCGCAGTGACATCAAGTTTGCAGTGAAAGAACTAGCAAAGAGGATTCGAAACCCTCGACTATGTGACTGGCAGAATCTCAAAACACTCGGCAGATATTTGAAAGGGACACTGGAATGTGGACACACCACGACACTGGCAAGTGGAGTGGACCGACACCATCCAGTACCAGTTCATGCATACTGTGATTCAGATTGGGCTGGTGACGAGGAAAGCAGAAAGAGCACAAGTGGAGAAGTGTTAGTTCTAGGAGGGACTGTGATTGAGACAGGCCAGCGACGAGCAGTGCAGAGGCGGAGATCAGAAGTCTCACGCATTGCGCACAATCGGCAGTGCATGTGAAGAATCTCTGTGAACAAGATTTTGGAATGGAAGTAGAAATACCCAGGATTTGTGGCTTTCATTGCAAACAGTTAACTGGAATGGTGAAGCCTTGTTGGATGAGCAGGTCCTTGGTAGCCAGCCGGGCTTAAACTTACAACCAAGATGGTGCTGACACACGCAATGAAATTCATGTCATGGTAGCCATCTGGCTCATGTTCCATGAAGATTGCATGTCGTGGTAGCCACCTGGCTTATCATCCATCAATAATGCTTATGAGCAGTATGAGCTTGCCTTGACTGGTCACGCATGAGCTTTTGTATCATGAGCTCATATGGCTTATCCATTTTAATAAATGCACATGCTCAGCTTTGATTTGCATAATGATGAGCAGCACTGCCAAAGCCTTTGTCTATTTTCTCAAAATGCTCTGGCGAGTCTAAACAAATTGCTGCCAACAAGCCAGAATAAATAAACAATAAATCATATGTTTGACCATCACTCCAAATGTAATAAACCTAGTATGTTTTTTTGCTAACCACTTAGCTAACCACTTAGCTAACCCCTGGCTAACCTCTTAGCTTTCCCCCTAACTTAAGCCCTTAGCTAACTAGTGAGCATTTGTTAGTAAATAGTAAAAATTAAATCTTTGCCCCAATGTCCTAATGCAGCCCCGCGAAGTGGAAAAGAGACCCGCGAAGGGGAAAGAGCTCCGCGAAGGGGAAGAGCCCCGCAAAAGGAAAGAGCCCCGCAAAGAAGGGGAAGAATGCAGCCCCGCGAAGGGGAAGAGCCCCGCAAAGGGGAAGAGCCCCGCAAAGGGAATGCAGCCCCGCGAAGGGGAAAGAGCCCCGGAAGAGCCCTGTAAACGGGAATGCAGCCCGAAGGGAATGCACGCCCGCGAAGGGAATGCAGCCCCGCGAAGGGGAAAGAGCCCCGCGAAGGGGAAGAGCCCCGCGAAGGAAATGCAGCCCCGCGAAGGGAATGCAGCCCCGCGAAGGGGAAGAGCCCCGCGAAGGGAATGCAGCCCCGCGAAGGGAATGCAGCCCCGCGAAGGGGAAAGAGCCCCGCGAAGGGGAAGTGCCTCGCGAAGGGAATGCAGCCCCGCGAAGGGGAAAGAGCCCTGCGAAGAAAAAAAACATCCGCGCAGGGGAAGCGCCCCACGAAGGGAATGCAGCCCCGCGAAGGGGAAAGAGCCCCGCGAAGGGGGAAAGCCACGCGAAGGGAATGCCGCCCCGCGAAGGGGAAAGAGCCCTGCGAAGGGAAAGGGCCCTGCGAAGGGGAAGAGCCCGCGAAGGGAATGCAGCCCGAGCCCTGCGAAGAAAAGAAATCCGCGAAGGGGAAGCGCCCCGCGAAGGGAATGCAGCCCCGCGAAGGGGAAAGAGCCCCGCGAAGAGAAAGAGCCCCGCGAAGGGAATGCCGCCCCGCGAAGAGAAAAGAGCCCTGCGAAGGGGGAAGAGCCCTGCGAAGGGGAAGAGCCCGCGAAGGGAATGCAGCCCCGCGAAGGGAATGCAGCCCCGCGAAGGGGAAAGAGCCCCGCGAAGGGAATAAAGCCCCACGATGGGGAAAGAGCCCCGCAAAGGGCATAGAGCCCCGCGAAGGGGATAGAGCCCTGCGAAGGGGGTAGCTTCCAGGCTGAAAAGGAACCCGGCGCAGGGGAAGACTTGCGAAGAGAAAAAAGGTGCAGGGGAAGGGGGGGGTGACGGGCCATGCCCCGTTGAGGGGATGGGAAGGTTCGAAAAGAAGGAATCAAGGTGGAAAACAAAGGTGGGGAGGTTGGAAAAAATGCAATCAAGGTTGATTCAGAGAAAAAACAAGGTGAACAAAAAGTGTGGCAAGGTTGAAAAAACATGAAGTGCCGACCCTGAAATTGAAAAAGAAGGGGACAAGGTAGAAAAAAAAGCTTAAGGTTGAAAAAAAAGGGTCCAAGGTTGAAAAAAAGGCATGCCCGAACCCGTTGGACTTGTCCCACATGGGTCCCGTGCAAAAACCCGCGCCTGTTGATCTTGCTCTTCTTGGAACCCGCCGCGCCCATGGCATCTCTCCGTGAGGCGAGGGCACTGTAACACAAGAATAGCGAAAGTCATGCACGCCCGGCGCTATACGCTGCAGTAACGGACTCGCAGTTAGAATATATCTGGCAAAACTAAATTCGAGCCAGAACAATGTCTCGTTTTGAGGTTTGTTCAGCCCCAAAGTACACACAGACCCAAAAACACTTGGAGGGTCAAAGCCCCGAGCAAGGTTTGGGTTGGGACCATGCCCGTTTTTCCCACAGACCTCAGTTACATGGAAAATAACACGGATCCTATCATGGACTCTCTACCAAGTGAGCGAATAGAAGAGCATGTGGCTGCCTTTGCGCATGGCTGGTAGCATGGCTATAGCATCATGCTAGCAGCGCAAGCGTCAGCTATTGGATACTCGTGCCAGACTTGCCAAATATATATATATATATATATATATATATATACTGCTGGCTGAAAGGGGAAACAAAGAAATACAATAGAAGCAAACTGTTGAACAAATCAGCTAAGTCTGTCAATCACACTACTTCACCGACCGGAAACCATGACCCGCGTCCGTCACCGTGGGTGGTGTTACCGGTGATGTTGTTTTCACTTCGTTCATTTTCGCCTTTCGAAACCTCGTGTTGCCGTTCCGGGGGGCTGCCTTGAGCCAAGCTTCCGCCGGCAACTCAAAGCACCATGCACGACCGATCCACGCCACAGTCGCGGTTTGTGCAATTTTGACAATTGGGTGGCAGGCTGCTCCGCGCTGCGCAAGGAAATCTAGCTGCTGTGAACGATTACAACTCCCTCTTTTGCGTTTGCTCGTGGTAGCGCATAAAAGCACCTTTGAAAAGCACGAAGGAGTACGGAGGGTGCTGGCATTCGCATCCTGGGCTCACTCACGAAACCGGCAAGCGGCGTCCTGCATGAAACTGGTGGCCCTCGTCCCCGTGGCCAGCATGATCTCCTGAAGCGACACACCAGGCAGGGGTGGGGAATCTTTAATTAAATGGAGCGCCATTTTCCTCCCTTCAGTTTCTAAGGTTCCGAAGGCTCGCCGGAGGCGAGGGAGCCAATCCAATGTTTCTGCCTTAGGATCGGAGCAGGCATGGGTTCCCTTTGAACAAACGGGAATGCGGCATGCTTGCTTAAGCCAGTGGTGCCATCCTGGGACTTTAAAGCAAACAACATGGCCCTATTCTCAAGCTCTCGCTCGGGAAAAGACCCCCAAGCAAGTCAACTCTCCACTCTAACTTTGACATCTCCTAAAGCTGTCCTGTCAAAGCCTTGCCCGTAAAACAGCCTTGCAGAGTTGCTTATTTGCTCGGTGGCCGGGCGGAACAGGCAATGCTGTTCGTGAGACATTGCTTGCGACACCTGCCCCCCGCCCTGCCCCAGGTTGTCACGACAGTACAACTCAAACATAAGAAGCCCAATAGTTTGTGTGTGTGTGTGTGTCCCTCTCTCTCCCGCTCTCAGTGTCTGTGCGTGCGTGCGCGGGCGCATGAGCAGGCGGGCGGGCGGGCAGGCGTTCGGGCGGGCGGCGTAGGGGGGGGGGGGTGGGGTGGGGTTGCTGAGCCTGCGTGCGTGTTGCGAGTGTGTGCGGTGGTTGGGTGCGTGCACGCGAGCCTGTGTGGCTTGTGCGCGCTTGTGCTTGTGTTTGTTTTTGTGTGGGTCTCTCTCTATCTCCCCCTCTCTCTGTGTCTCTGTCTGCGTCTCTCTGTCTCTAGGTGTGTGTTGTGCCTGCGTGTCTGCATGGCTTCGTGTGATCGTGTCTTCGTGGGTGGGGCGGGGCGGCGGGTTGGGTTGCGTTGGGTTCGGGTGGGGTTGGGGTGGGGTGGGGTGAGGTGGGGTGGGATGGGGTTGGGTGGGGGTTGGGTGGGGTGTGGGTGGTTCACGGGCACCCAAAGTGAGCTGAAGCCGGCGCCAGAGTCTGTTCTCATGGCCTACCCATGCCTTTGTAACCGGCCAAAGCCCAGTCCAGCTTGTCCGTCTTCTTCTCCAGGCAGATTGTCATCTCGCCTCAGCGGGAAAATCGCGGCTTCACGCAAAGCGGACAAAGCGCTCACTTGTCCAGTGCCAATGCTCGGTAGATCCCAGCTAACCAGCCAGTTTCCCTCGAGTTGTTTGAAGGGTGGGTGGCTTGGTTACCTGCACAGAGAGAATGATATCACCGGGAATGCTTGGGTTTCGAGGGGTGCCACTGGACAAATTGCACGGGCGGGATGATTGCAACCCTGCGGCCGGCCCAATCCACGCTGCCAAAGCGACGGTTTCAAGTTGGTTTAAAAGGGAGGCTCAAAGTAAAACTATGCTGTGCAGGGTCCCCCTGTTTTGACGTACGCATACCCCTGTGGCCAACAAAACCACGAGTTGGATGGGCATGGTTCCTCACCAGTAAAAAACTCGTCCATTGCCACGATTGCGAGAAATCGCAGGGTCGATGACGCGGTCCTCAAGATCCGTCTGGTGGATATCTACAGGATATGGGTGTCTCCTTTTGACACATATGTTCTACCGAAATTCGGCATTCCCACGGAAACTTCTTGTTTTCATTCCGCTCAGTACGGACCGAGGAATCCCCTCACTGAACCATCCAGGTGGCTTGGAAGATTCTCTGACAAATCAGCCGATTTTGGACCCATAGGCTTAACCTTTTGGGGCCCATGACAAAAAAAGGACCAAGGAGAGACTTTATTGGTCTAAAGGTCGAATTTGGGCGAGTGAGGAAAAGGTCTTCCCAAACAGAGGAAAAGGAAAAAACGTGGCCTTGGGAACCTACATGTGGGTGCACAGCTGCAATAATGTGTGTAATCATTCAGCCATACTGTGGCTGGACAAAATCCTGCACCACTTTGAAACCATTAAAAACCATTGTTTGTTGGTATTCACAGGGGAACCATCATTCCAGGGTTTCTCCGGGTGCGAAATGCGGAATTACCTAAGAAGGACACCTGTGGCCGTGTGTTTGTGCTTCCGTTTCCAAACAAAAAGGGACAACAGGGTGCCACGAAGCAAGTGGAATTGCACAGCCCGCGAGAGCTGAAAGATGCACCGGAAGCCGCGTTTCGATGTTGATTTCGCAGTTTGTTTTTTGCACCAATCGACTATTTGTCGAAATGTAGTTAATCGCCGTTTGCGTTTAAGGTGGAAAATTGAAGAGACAAATGCCATGAACTTCCTTCCTGCGACGCGTCATTCAATACTCAGGTGCATGCTTGCGCCAAGAACTCTCAATACCAGGCTTCACACTAGGAATTCGATGAGTACCCCCCCCCCCATTTCCCAATGGCTCAAAATACTAGCTGGCTCGGAGCCATTGATCGTGCCATGTGGTGTGAATCTGATTTCGGCATGTATGCTAGCAATGGCTCGCGCTCAGGTGTCACCCGAGCCAAAAGACCGTTTCGCCACACAAGCTGACGCTGAAGCTTGCAAGTTGATGCAGCCCATAACTTACGAAGACACCCAAAGCGGGCAAAACTAACTTCCCACCTAAACACTAAACCCCAAACCCTAAACCCCACGGAACCTCAAGCCTCTCGTCTATTGGAACTCCATGGAACTCCACTGAAGGCGCCACCCGGTTCTTTGTTTACGGACCTCGGGTTCCAAATTCTCCGCCTTCCTTTTTCCGGGCCCGAAACCCTCCCGAACACGGAACCTGTGAGGTGTGACCAGCGGGCATGGCACTACAATACTCCCATTCCGTCCAGCTCGAGAAGTCTGGGATAGAAAACGGGGGCGAATCCTGAATCCATCTGGCATAAGGCTTCAGGGTTGAATTTGAACGTGTCAAGAGAGGGTGTGGAAAAACAGCAAATGAACCGAATTGTTTGGGTTTCCTTGTGGGAGATTGAACAATTTTGAGTTTGCATCTTCTACATACGGTAGTCTCCAAACCAGTGGCGTCCCTCTGTTTTCCCTTCAAAAAAGAAAACAAATCACACACCTATTCAGCACAAAGCGAAGAGCCCATGCGACAAGAGAGTCTAAATCAGCCTTCAAAAGCCTCTTCCGATTTCCGAGGCGCCGCCCCGCACGTGCAGGAAGGTAAAGCTGTGATAGGTCACCCAGCCCCGGGGGAGGTGGGACCAGTCCTGCAAACAGCTGGAATTGGTCCCGCATGAGCAAGTGACAACTGGCTAATTAGTCCCATCAAGCCGGAGCCGCATGGAAAATCACATGTCCTCTAGGAAAGAAGTCATTGTGTTCAAGCTTCAGGGTTCACATGAGCCATGCAGGTGATCATTTGAGGAGTTGCATTGGTTGTCTGTGTAAAGGGTTGATGACCATTCCTACCAACCTAAGGGTAGTTTGACCGGGTAACAACAACAGCCCTTGGATGATTTGGAGACACCAAGTTGCAACATGATAGTTTGCTGACCATCAGGGGGACTAAGTGGTCTTGCAGTCCCAAAACATTGACGAAATGCGTAATCTACTGGAAATATGCACCAGGGTAAAAGTAGCTGGCACAATTTTCTTTATGTGGGTAAGTAAAGGGGCTGACTGAAAACAACAGCGGACATGTGCCATCTGCACTTACCTGGCTGTAATGTCGATTGATTGCTTTACAGCCAGATATTACCTCTATCTGAATCCAAGAAATTGCGCTTCATAGATGGAACAGGGACTGGCCTATGACTCAACGGTGAACCTCAGAGCAGCCGACAAAGACCCAAGACCGACCCCAGAAGCACCCGGGGCCCGTTATGCTGGCCACTGCAAGGGAAATCTCACAATAGCAATGCAAATCTGCCGGCGTGGGCATGACATTCGTTGAAGGACGTTGGGACCTGTTTGATTAGTAGCGTCAGCATCTGCCAACTGAGGTCAAGGCACATGGCCTTTAATAGATATTCCTAGCGTGCTGGTTACGCTACATGTACCCCACAGTGCGTATTTGGGCAGTGTGGGCAAAGTACCAATCATTCACCAACCGAAATAAGAATTGGACCCACCTTCACTCTGGGTGACGCTCAGACCCCTTAGTGACGTGATGAGTTGCTCATATGTTTGTGGCATTTCGGGGGCAAGCAACAATACGCGCTCGCGCTCGCCAGAGCGGCGTGATTAGGGAGGCCGGCCGAGTGCACCAAGCTGGAGTAACTTGCTGGTGGGAAAGATATGCTGGAATAAAAGAAGAAGGCCCTGTGGATGGACAACTTTCATTTTGCACCACTTGGTAAGTGGCGCATCTCATGTTTCATAGGGTTTCATCCATCCCAACCGGTGGGTGCTCTTTGAGGGGATCTCTTGCTCATTCCTACTTGAAACCATCCCAAAAAGGCTAAGTCAATACAGACCATGACAAACCCATGTGGCCACCAAAACTGGCCTAACCCGGATATGCTTACGGATAGGGCAGCTTGCGCATACTTGCGCCATTTGGTAATGATAATAATTGGTTAACCTACTAGCCCCCTAGCTTCCCTGTGAGGCAAACACATTTCAGAAAGACGAATCCCGCCTGCCGAAACTCCGTGAAGCCTGTAATCAGCTTGTCCAACTGTGACCTGAACCAGGTTCGAGAAGCACTTTGCAAAGGGCCTGACAAATTCGTCGGGGGCCTGACTAATTGGCCATAGGTCAAAAGCCCATACCCTCAGTGAACATCCCAATCCCCACTAAAATAGACTGAAATGGGTGGTGCACCTACCCCAAAATGGTACCATTGGTTTTGACCCACAGCCAATCAAGTTTTAAGCCAGTTCGGTGGCACCCTCCCAACCCAACCGCGACTGGATTTTCATGGTCGCCTATTGGAAGAAACTCACCTGACTGCGAGCTGGGATACTGCACCAAGGATGTCTAAACGGGTGTGCCGATATGTTTGAGGGCGCCCCCGTTGGATTGGTTTGAAGGGAAGTTGAAGGGACGCCACCAATTCGGGGGGGGGGGGGTTCGTTCACGTTGCCCCAAGCTCTGCTACCTGGGGAACAGGTCTGGGGCAGCCCGAACAGTGACCAGAGGCTGGGAACCGGCGAGCTTGCTGTGCGCGAGCGGGCTTGCCAAGGAAAACTTAAGGTGTACAAAATAGGTATCTGCCTTCTGCCTGCAACAACCAACAGCTTGTCTCTGATCCTCTTCCACCCAAAGGTCCGTGCGGCCAATTGCATCACAGTACGGAAGATGCCCTACATATGGGCATGGGTCAAAATTACACCACCAGGAATCGGACCGCAGGTTTTAAACCATGTTTCCATCTACCAGGGTTCTATTTTGGGTACTTTTTGTTGACCCACAGCCATATTGCAAAGGGAACAAGGGAAAACCTGGAAGTCCCCGTTGGTGTACTTGCAACATTGACTTGACATCGGACCCAAACGCGCAGCTGGAGTGGAGCCCCGGAGCCAGGGAGAACGCGTTTCACCAAGCAATGTGAAGGCTTTGACCTCGAAAACCACTCCCTCCATTTTGCGGAAAATGACCCCGACACAGAGAAGCTCGATGAAAAATCGAAATAAGCAAAAAAGGTCTGCAATGTCAACTTAAACCACTCAAACGAGCAAGCAATCATAAGGACTCCTGCCTGAACCTGAGTGAGTTTGTCCTGGCCACAGCCCTCTGAACCCGATCCCAATTCGGCCGTTGTCCGCTTTCAGGGATGACCTTAGTGACTTAATCCCATGGAAATTAACGTGACTAGAATGTCCTTGGAGCTTGTGTCGTTTTTGAGGGCACATCCATTTTTTGTGGTTTTGAAGGAAGCCCAGAAGACAACCACCATTTATTTAGTTATTGTAGGGAGGAAAGCAACACACACACACACAAGTAAGGGCGTATCTTTGTTTAGGGCCGGTACCAACCCAAAGTTATGGTCAAACTTTGAAATCCTTTAACTCGGATGCGGGCGGCTGCTGTCCGAGCAACGCGACGACCCGATCCGGCGGGCTCGCGAGCCGCAGGAGGGTGGTCTTCACCTCCAGTCGATGTCTCAGCCCAGTTAATCACTCAACCCACAAAGTTGATAAGGCAAACCATGCGTTTGGACCCCCTTGAAAAATAGGCGTTAAGCAAATGCTGAAGGCCGAAGACCTCCATTCTACTATCTGTTGCTGGCCTGCCAACCTGTTTGACTTTTGACTCCTGCTTTTTTGGGCAGGAAACCAAAAGGGACTGAGAACTAGGCTTCAGATCCGGGTTCCATCCACTGGTTCGACAAGCCAAAGCCAGCTCAATTGCTGGCTGATATTGATTCTCGAGGATATCCCATAGACATCTGGATCGCCATGCCCAATTGTCCGCCCATCCGGGATGAACATCTGCAACAGGACGGGACGAAGAAGGTGACCCATGTGCGGAAACTGGTCAGGCGATGGGGGGAAGCTGAAGCACCAAAGGGTTGAGTCATGTCGATTCGCTTTGGTCAAGTAGGTCATGCAAGATATCTATTCACCCCCACCCTGACGCTCCAGCTAATCAGCGGAAACCAACCAGGTACAACAAAGCAAAAGAACACCCCCTCCCAATTCCCCTGGCTGTTTTCGAACCTGTTGGGTGAACCCTCTTGGGTATTTGAAAAAAGGCCTTGTTGGGTGTGCACGAACGGTGCACGGCGGCTTGACGTTCGTCCGGGCACTTGGGCTTCCAGCCCACTCCTCCTGATCTTTGTACTTGAAGAAGCCTGAGCTGGGCTTGGCTTGTCAAAAAAGGAATCGGAACCCCAACAAGGGGTTAAGGGGGTCCTTTGGTTTCCAAACACGACACCCCCGACTCAAAAACTCCACTGGGTGAACATGCATCTTAACAACACTGGCAGAAGCCCAGGTGGTATCCCCGGAACGTTTCCGGAACAGTGACTCCGGACCCAGCTTTTCTGGGCCCACGGACCCCATAGCTTTCAGCTGTGGAACCCAGACAACAAAAGGCACATGGAACATAGCTGAAGAACCCAAAAAGACACCTCTTCTAAGAAAGAAGCAGACAAGTCTCTACACTAGCCACTTGCTTTGCTTTTTGTTGGCGCATGTCCTGGGTAATCGCCTTGAGCTAGTCGTTTAGAATTCACCAAGCCCAAGGTACAGCTCCCTATGAAAGACCCCCCTTTTGCAAGAACCCTACAATCTGCCGACAGATTTCGGCCGCCCGCCAAATGACACAGCACCTGTGGGTTTAGTGTTTAGGGTGCTCAGGGGAAACATCGCGCATTTCAAAAGCCAGCCAAGGCATGACAAGCTTTTGGAAAGAGGAAAGATCATAGCATGGGAGAGTACAGCATCACGAAGTTAGAGAAGACATCAAAGAACGTGACATGGGCCAATTCTGAGGAAGAGCACCCATGTCCTCCTCAAACTGATCGTATGGAATATTGTCAGTGGCCTCTGTGCTGCTGCAAGAACTAGCAATGACACCCTCAGGTCAAAGCTTGATGAGCCGGGTTGAAGCCACTGACAGGAAAACGTTCTTTCGTTCCAGGGTTGGTTTCCCAGAGGGAAAAGATAGAATATGTCCGGTAGTGGGAAGTAAAACATATTCTTAAGCAAATGGAAGGTTGCCTGACCTTTCTAGCCTTCCCCCAAAGAAAAAAATGAAGGCACCGCAAACCTCGAACATTCAAGTTGAGAAGTTGGCCAGAGCTGCGGAAAGAAAGACCGATCACAAGGCTAAAGGACCATTGGGCTCTCGAAAAGGAAAACAAACGCACTAAAGAAATATATCTAGTCGAGTGTGGTTTGGTAAAAAGTTTGCATCCCGAGCCATCCGGCCAAATCTACGCACTCTCCAGCTTGATATCAGAAGGGAGCGGGCTTGGTCTTCCAAAGAAGAGGTTGTGCACTTCCGTGTGTGTGGCTTCCCTTTTTTTGTTGTGGGTGGGGGGGAGGGGGAACTCCGCACTCCTATTTGCAGCGGCATCCTCGAAATCCGAGGTACACATTCCAAGGTTGGCACTCGACCCCAATGTCTGAGGGACCCTTGCGCACTATATTCGTAGCCATACTGGGGCGCATGTTCAGGAGCCCGGGCGACCATTTCTCCTAAGTTGTATCTCCAAAATCCCTGGCATTGCTAAACATGGGCGTGAGTTTTAATATGGCACCGTTTGGTGGACATCATTTTGGTGAGGGTTGAGGTTCCCAATTCAACAGCCAAATCCCTGAAAAGGCCTGGAGGTTTTGTACCCCCATGGATTTATCGGTGCGCACCTTTGCCTCCAACAAAAGGACCGCACCCTCCAAGCTCGGAGCCAGGGTTCATTTGTTTGACCAAGCTAGACACTCAGTTGATTGCCACAAGAGGAACCTTGGTATGGAGGATGCCCCTGACAGATTGCGAGTAAACCCACCACTACCCATGGGAATTTACAGTTTCCCTTGTTCCCTACGAGTATTTGCAATATTTAGGGCATCCACCGTCGCCTACCTTGGAGCAATCACCAAACCCCGCCCGGCGAATCAAACTGCGAACGCCGAGAAACGCTCGTAGTCGTTCTCCTCGCCCTTCTCGTCCACATCCTGTTTTTTGGGAGCGGTTTCTGGCACAGGAACAGTTGAGGTGGTGCTTAAATCACCAAAAAGTTGAATCTAGCATGACCAAAGAAGGTGACGTTTTAACCAGTTCAAGGAAAACCATGGCTATGGCCAGAGATGGCCAAGCAGTGCCTCCTGACCCTGTCTCAATGGTTCATAGGCCCCTTGCATGTTGCTTTCAAACCTTCCAGCTCGGAATTATCCTGCGTATTGAACAATATACTTACACTATAAGTAGATGGCACAATTCCTTCTATGTCGGTAGAAGCCCAAATTGGCGGTGACTTTTTATTCAGGACCCTCTGGACGTCCTTTACATGGTGATTGATGTCTGCCAACTTTTGAGGGTGCTCCCTATGGCCAATTAAGGACTCGTGCCATCGACTTTCACCCTATCTTCCAAATCAGCACTCCACAAATTCACAAAATCACAACCCTCACTAGTCTTGGACAAATCTGCCCTCTTGGGTGGGGGGGGGGGGGGGATTTTTGTCGGATTCTTGAGGGCCCCAGAAATGGAGGGGGATTGGGATTTGTTGGGTGGGAACCTTCCCTGCTGATTTCCACGAGCTCGCGCCTCCACGGTGATGCACACAACCCAGTAGCCCCACCAGGTAGCATTCCATCCTGCGAAGGTCTACCCCAAAATGGGTGGCTTGAAGGGAAACCGAAAAGAAACCGAAGGGAAACCGAAGGGAAACCGAAGGGAAACCGAAGGGACACTCTTGCGCCATTTTGAGTTTGCTTTTTGGGGTGGGGCTAAAACAAGGAACCACACCCAAATAGAAAGGGTGTTGCAGTGAAGTACATGTGTGTACGCAATGACAATGCAAGCGAACGAACTGTGAGCTTGAAGGTTCAAGCCCCACAATCAGCAGGAAGATAGGATCGATCCATGGCCGCCGTTGCCTTGCTAGCGCAGATCCTTTGCTGATGGGGGTGACCTTGGATTGCTTCGTGTGTGCCTTATGTACATTCCCTTTGGCTTGAATGGCCGTACCTGGATCACTTAAAGACCTTCCTGAGCTGCTTGCTAAATTGAAGAGCTGCAACTTACAGTCTTTGGCCCCCTTTCTAGTCACTCACGGTATTCGATCGTTGTGCGATGTTGCCACAAAGCGACCGTTCCTCCTGGAATCAGGAGTGGGGCCTGAGCAGCTGAACATGCTTTGCCCGTGTGCGGATGGTGTTGTTGAAAGGCCCCAGCAGGCGGGTCTGCAGCCGGTGTGTCCTCGACCGGATTTTCCAGTGAACCGCCCTGGCGGGGCGGCTTCACTGCAGGCAGCGTTGAGTGCTGCAACAACCAGCAACCAAAGAGCCAGCCTTGAAGCGCTCCAGATAGACATGCTGGCGCCTTCCACCCGGCCTTCTGTGCTCAGCAGGGTGGCAACTTGGCAGACCATCTGTGCAGCGTGGTCAGTGCCGCCTTTTCCAATGACTTTGGATAACATACGCAAGGCTGCAGCGTCCTTCAAGCAAGGGCGCTATCGCTCCGCCAAGCAGTACTTCTCGGTGGTTTCAGCATATCAGCTTCGAGAGTTTGGCATCGAGCTTCCTTCAGCGCTTCGAGGTACCATTCGGGACGTGTGCCGTTCTATTGAGAGGGGACAAGGCCCTGCCAAGCTGAAGGACGCGTTCTTTTTGCCGCAGCTTCAGCAATTGGTGGCCTTAGATGACTCAACAGCCTTTGCAGTGGATCGCCCGCAGCATTCCGTGGATGTGGTCATCCTTGGGTGTTGGTTTATGCTGAGGGAAATCGAGTTAGCGCAGGCAGAGGTTCATCACCTGCAAGCTGACGACCGTGCAGTCACGCTGGCCATCCCGTTTCACAAGACTGATTCCCGCGGGAGCATGTGCCAACGAACATTGGAGTGCGCCTGCTTGGGCCAGGTGTCGCTGCTGTGTCCTGTGCACGCTGCTCAGCGGCACCTGCGGCGCCTGCGCGCAGCAGAAGGCTTCAGAGGAGATCGTTCTCCTTTAGTGCCTGCTGCAGATTGGGCCGTTGCTTCCAAAACCCAGACAATTGACATGATTCGCTCCACTTTGGCGGCTTGTGGCATCAGCTTGGAGCGCACTTTGCCCGACGGTACGCTTGCTCAACGTTTCCAAGGGCATGCCCTTCGTGTAAGTGGAGCGCAATTCTGCGCAGCTGCTGGAATGACTCTGGATCACATCCAAGCCCATGGCCGGTGGCGGTCCATGGCCGTCCAAAGATACGTGCAGTCTGCAGCGCTGGCTGTCACGCCTTCCTTGGCCAAACGGGCGCTTCAGGCTGACCCTAGCAACACCTTTGAAGACCCGGCGCAATCTCTGGACAGTGAAGAGCCAGCAAGATGCAGCGCACCCAAGCGGCCGCGAGTTCAGACAATGGCTCCAGCCAACCTTGAACCCATTGGGGACCTTCAGAGACAGTACATGGCCCTGGAGCACGATCTGCGTGCTTTAAAGCAGGCAATGCAGCCGTGCCCTGAGACCTTGGTTGCCCGCAATCGCAGCCACATTGCGCACAAAATTAGCGTGCAGGAGCGTTGCAATCCTCCTTTGCAGTGGCGTACTGTTTGCGGCTGGCAGTATGGCCTTGCTTCTTTCCATCGGTTTCCTGCAATTGAGGGTACGCTGGTCAAATGCAAGAAGTGTTTCGGGCTGTCAGGGCAGCAGGTTTCTGACAGTGACGGCTCCTCATCTACAGACAGCTCTGCTGACCTCTCGCGCGGGTCAGAGAGTGACTAGTGGTCATGGCAGCAGGCTCATGATCCTGAGTGTGCTGCTGTTGTCTCGCAACTCGCGCAGCAGGATTAAATTTCTCTCTCTGAAAGAGAAATAGGAGAGACTGTGAGAGAGTGAGACAGAGAGTGTGTGAGGAGCTGACACCGCGGTTGTGAACCTGGTGCCTGTGGCTTGTTTTGTTGTGTTGATTTGTGGGGTGCTTATTGGGCTCGTTGTGTGTTCGCTTTGACGCTCAGGTTTTGACTTGACAGAGTAGGAGCCATGGCAGACCCTGTGCCATCCTTAAGTGCCCTGCTGAAGGAAGCTGGCGCTGACAGCGTTGTGCAGGATTATGTCAAAGCGCGGGGGCTCACCGCGCTGGGGACATTTGCTCTGCTGGCAAAAGATCATGAAGGCCTGCGTAAGGTTTTGATTCAACCGCTTATGCAGGGCTTCAAAAAGGGCCCAACCGAGTTTGTGCTGGATGACGCTGACAAGCCTGTGGCCGAAGCTGTGCTTCTCACTGTATGGGATGAAGCCAATCGCATCTGGGCGAATCACATGAAGCCCGCTGATACCTCCGCGGGAAAGTTGTCGAACGCAGCTTCAGCTCCTTCGAATGTTCATGGCGCTGCAGATGACAAGCCGCCCAAGCAGCTGCCGGCAGGCGTGTGGAATTCAGCCATCAAGCGGTACAACGATGTGCAGATTCAGGGCATCAACAGAAGTTTTCCAGAACGGGAGCTTGTCGGTGCTGAAAGCGTGCTGGCGCGCGCTCATTTTGAACACACGAAGACAAAGTTATACACTCCAATCGGACTTGGCGAGTTGATGCAACATCGTTCCTTTACAGCTGTTGGTGACCCCAACCCCCTGGTCCGGTCTAAGGCAGACGCCAAGACCACGCTGACCGTCGAGGGCGACAAGCTGGTCCAGGAGGCGGAGAAGGTTTGGGCGCCTAAGTCTGTGCTCTCGGTGATTGACGCCATCCGCAGCATCCAGTGGGCATGGATCCTTTTGGACTTTGGTCCAGAGCTCAAGATCAGCGAGTTTTGTGATTGGCTCTGCTTGCGCCTTCGAGCAAAGCCAAACAAGCTCGAGCAGTTCCGAATCTGGTACGAGCAGCTGGCGTGGCAGCTGGCTATGCAAATGCGAGTGGGGAAGTCTTTTGTAGAGGCCACAGAGCACATCAGAGCGGACTTGGAGCTGTATCATGAGACCATGGCCAAGGAGATCACGCCCGCTTTTAAGAGGGGGGCCAAACGCAAAGCCGAGGCAGATGACGTGGAGCAGGAGCATCGGCAACACCTTCCTGCCAAAGGCGTTGGCAAGGCAAGGGGGGCATGGCGCCCGTCAGCATGGAATCGGTGGCCTCGACATTCGTCATCTTGGGACCAGCAGCGGTCCCAATCGTGGAATTCCTCCACAAAGTCTGCCACGCCTTGGCAGTGGCCAGGGCCAGAAGCTGACAAATAGGGGCTTGGGAGCCCCTCTAGCGCCAAGGGGGGTGAACCCATGACCTGTGATGCGGCGCATGTCATCATCCTGAGCTTCTTTGATGGCATTGGTTCGGGGCCTTTTGTTTTCAAGGAGCTCTTCGGAAGGCCCAAGGCTGTTTTCAGTTGGGAGATCGACCAGCTGTGCATGAATGTCAGTTCGTACCATGTTCCAGAGACACAGCACCGGGGAGATGTGGCTGCAGACAGCCCAGCAGCGCTGGCAGCTGAAATCCTGGCTCTGGACCCTGACAAGACAGCGCGCATCTTGATTTTGGGCGGCCCGCCGTGTCCGGACTTCTCCAGCATCAAGGCTCAACCTGCAGGCCGTGCTGGCCCTGAAGGCATGAAATTCGACCAAATGTGTGATTTCTGTGATCGGCTTGAGCAACTGTTGAATGATTGGCCCCCCTTCTGGTTTTTGGTTGAGAATGTTGTTCTCAAGGCCAAGGGTGAAATTCAGCATTTTTCTGCCCGCCTGAAATGCCAGCCAATCCTGGCTGACGCTGCTGACTTTGGTGTAGTTAGCCGGCCTCGTTTGTGGTGGATGCGGCGTCGCTGGAGCACGCAGGATGTGTACCCTGGAACAACCTCTCCTTTGAGGTGGACAAAGTCAGCAGGGGTTCCTCGCTTGCAGACCAGCATGAAGACGGATGACCCATCTTATATGCAGGTGGCTGGCTTGGCATTCCACAAGGATGTGCTGGCAGGCTCAGTCAGCCTTCCATGTTTGACAACGCCCGCGCCTTGGCCTAGTGGGCGAAGTGCTCCAAGGAGCAGCAAAGGGCGCACATCTCCTCAAGCCCACTCTCGTTGGCTGGGGGACTCACGCCGATTTGCGCCCTGGCATTATGAGTCGGCGGCCATGATGACAGATGCAGCTGGCAGGTACCATGTCCTGCCACCTTTGGTAAAAGAGCGCTTGCACCACTATCCGGATGATTACACTGCCCACCCTCATGCTGATGTGAATGACAGGCACCGCATGCTGGGGAATTCATGGCACTTGGGAGTGGTGCGGCTCTTGCTTTTGCTTCTTCTAGCTTCGCAGGTCCAACCACATGCTGCGCAGCTGACAAGAAGCCCAACCCGCTCTGCGCTTCAGCGTATGATTGAATGGTCTTTGGTGAATCCGGCGCCGCTTGGGCCTACTCCGGATTCTGCAGAGCCACCTCTGGTGCCGCCGTGCGCAGGCATGCGGGAGCATTGGGCTCTGGCGCAGCGTCTCATTCACCCTTCTCTGCGCACGCAGCCGCCTGAGCCTGCTTTGGTGAGGGTAACCGAACGTCTTTTACAGAATCTGGCAACCATCAGGCAACTTCGCAGAGCTGTTTTGGATGAGCTGGCAGAGCTGGTGCAGGAATGGGCCGAAATCACGGAAGATTGGTTGGCCCAGGTAGCGCCGCACATTCGCGACGTGTACACCCAGGGTGGCCGTGAACCTCCGGCTCAGATCCCCTTGTTGTGCTTTCTTCTCAGGCGGATGCAATATCCCGGCGTTGAAGAACTGAGTGCTGATCTTCACCATGGCTTCGTGCTGCTGGGGCAGATGCATGCTGGGTCTGGGTGGAAGCGTCGCTTGGATACCAAATACAGGGATCCCATGCCTTATGAGCAGTTCTTTGAAGACAACAAGAGGCATGTCTTCGAAAAGCTGCGAAATCACAAGGTCGACCCTCACTGGAAGATTATGCTGGATGAGCTAGCAGATGAACATGCCAAAGGTCGTGTTGATGGCCCATATGGCTCTCCTTCATGCTGGCCGGTCCAGTGCGTCAGTGTACCACAGTATAAGCAGCTGTCAACGCTCCTGCAGGCTCCTGAGCACCATTGTCCAACGGCAGTGTGCTTCAGTGTCGAACAGCCGGACAAGGTACGGCGCTGCGAAGATTGGAGAAGAGCGCACCATAATCAGACTGTTTCAGCCTGTGATGTCCCTCATCATCACACGGTGGATGAGTACTGCAGAGTCATGCATTTGATGCATGCGTCAGGTCAGTCTCCACAGCTCTGGGCACATGATTTGAGTGCTGCGTACAGACAATTTCCTGTGCGGTACCCCAATGATACTTTCACGCTGTTGTTCACGCCGGCCGGGCCAACGTGGTGGAGACACAAGGCTTTGGTTTTCGGATCCACGGGGTCCGTGTGGAGCTTCAACAGAGCTGCTGATGCAATGAATTGGGCGGCCCAGCAGCTGCTTCTTGTTGCAAGTTTACACTACGTGGACGACTTTGGGGGAGTTGATCCCCAATCATGTTCAGATTCTGGTTGTGACAGCTTTGAGCAATTTTTCAGAATTTTGGGGCTGAGAATGAAGCCTAGCAAGGTACAGCGCCCTGCCTCGACTCAGCACATCCTTGGTGTTACCTTTGAAATCACTGAGCAAGGAATCTGGGTCAAACCACATGCAGACAGAGTGATCCGCATCAAGAATGCCATCCACCAGTGCCTTGTGGATGGCCGTCTCTTGCCTGGCGAAGCAAGCAAACTGGGTGGCAGGATGACTTTCCTGAACACAACATTATTTGGAAAAATGGGCACGGCGGCGTTACGCCCGGTCCATGTCAGAGCACATGCTTTGGGAGGAAAGCCACGAGAGGATGAGTTTATGTTGACACACTCTTTGAGAACAGCCTTGCAGACATTGTTGCACGTTTTGGACCATGCCCCGCCGCGTTTTATTCCTTTTGGAGCTGCCACTAGCCGCGTGGCAATTTTGTATGCTGACGCTTTCTTCAGGAAGGGTGACCAATTGTTTTCTTCTGCCGATGAGGCTTGGTGTTTCCGCAAGGCCCCTGACTTCTGCAATGGCTGGGGCTTCGTTGCCAGAATTGAGAACCAAACCTTCTACGCCATGGGCGAGGTGCCCCAGCATGTGGTGGCTGCATTTGGCCATCGGAGGGCATTCATTTATTTCTTGGAGTTGTACGCGCAGATGGTTATGGTTGGTACCCTGGCTGACGTTCTCCCTCAGTATTGGGTGTCTTTTATCGACAATCGCGCCGGTTGCTGTGCTCTTGAAAAGGGTTGGGGTAGTGACGAACAAGTGAACTCTTTGCTGACGGTGTTTTGGCGCACTGCTGCCACCAAGCAGTGGTTTCCTCACTTCGAGTGGGTGCCCAGTCGGTGTAACATTTCTGACCCCCTCTCCCGGCAGGATGATTCACTGGCGAACGAGTTGGGCTGGACACGGCTGCACCCCCACCTTGAACTTTTCCACCAGCATTTGCTTTTGATGAAGGATGATTTGCAATACGCCTCTTCTCGTGCCAATGCAATTTTGCTCGACAGTTTTCGTGGCCCGGTGCAGAGTGGTGGATGCTCCCCGGGCGGTGATGCAAAGAGCATCCACTCAGATGCCAGCACCTGGGGCAGCACCAACCAAGAAGCCTGCAAAAAGTGATAGGTGCAGTGCTGTGCATGTGGTAGAGAGCGTGGTTGTCGTGAAGTACATGTGTGTACGCAATGACAATGCAAGCGAACGAACTGTGAGCTTGAAGGTTCAAGCCCCACAATCAGCACCCACCACGTCCCGCCCTATTTTCGTCGAATTGCAGATATCAGTTGCGCGTGCCTGCGCGCATTTTTGCAGATTGTGCAGAGGGGCGCTATCGGCAGACAATTCTATTGTGACAAGCTTGCAATGTGCGCCAGAGCGGGTGGTGAAAGAAGATTGCCAGGGCTTTTTCTTTGTATGCGAATTCAGAATACGTATCACCATGATCGGACATTGAAGCATATCAACATTTTTTCCAGGGTTGCGGGGTGGTGATGCAAAGAGCATCCACTCAGATGCCAGCACCTGGGGCAGCACCAACCAAGAAGCCTGCAAAAAGTGATAGGTGCAGTGCTGTGCATGTGGTAGAGAGCGTGGTTGTCCACTGATCCCAACCCAAAGTGCTGTGGGATTGGATTGGGGATCAGAACCCCCAATCCCAAAGATCGATCATGGCTGAATCTATACCTATGTGACATTGACAAAACGCATTTCACACCTTGGTGGCTTATCAACTATTCATAGGGTGTCATAGGGTGTCATAGGGTGTCATAGATACTGTAGGACTTTGCGCCGCATTTTCAGGGACTTCCACCCCAATTTCTGGCTTCCCTGCAAAAAAAACAACACAAAAAACGAACAAACAAACAAACAAACAAACAAACAAACAAACAAACAAACAAACAAACAAACAAACAAGCAAACAACGACAAAAAACAACAACAACAAACATAAGCCCAGGTGGTATCCCCAAAAGCCCCCGGAACCCCCTGGAATCCTCTGGAACCTTACCTCAGAGCCGCCCCGGACCCTTTCTGGGCAGAGACCCTATAGCTTCCAGCTGTTGGGGAAAAAACTCGGGGAATCCATGAAAGCTTCTGACTTTCATCCCCCCAAAATAATATATGAAGCGTCAAAATCCATGAACCTTTTGGGGGTTGAAGAACAAAGCTCCTGCACAAGACTTGGCCTTGTCCTCCCAAAACGACGGGGGAGTGCCACTAAACTCATATTGCCAGTGACTCACGTATCCGCCGACCCTGGTTGCGAGGGAACGCGCCAAAGAAGGGTGGCCATAAGAATAGGCACCAGAAAAACCTTGCCCAACTGGAAGCAATATGGCTGGCTCTGGTCCATATTTTCTGCACCTGAACATGTGGAATAGCTTTTGAAAGAGATTTCCAAATACGACGAGGGTCGCAAACCATTGACCAATGGATCGTCTTTGAGGCCCCGGCTGGCTGGCATGTATTCAGACCCCTCTCCGCACATGTCGAACATGGCGGCATCCGAGTCAATGATGTCAAACGGACGTAAACGGTCGGGACCCGCCAACTTTTGCGCCCCAAGTCGGGTCCAGGGCGAAAGCTTGGGTTGGGATGGCTGACTGTCGTGAAGCCCGAGTTTCCCAGGCCAAGTCAAGCTTCTGGATTGTCAGCTTGCTGGGCTCGTCCACGTTTCTCAGTGCAACATGCGCGCCTGTCTCAGTTTGGTCTTCATTTGCATTTACGGCGCTTGAGCCAAACCCGGGGCAGCACGCCGGCAGTGTATCTCAGGCGAACATCCCAAAGGCTAGTATCAAATATTTCAAATATTGCATACATCCAATTGTGAACCTATATATGGCCATCATATGGCCCCTTGTGCACTGGCTTCCCCTGATCACATAATCCTCATTTGATGGTCGATAAAGCAATTAACTAGGGAGTGACAACAGGAGTTCACATGCGGACATACACATTTGCACGGTGGAGGTTATCGTCCCAATGGTCGATGGGCTACGCAACTAGGTTGATTCGGGGCCACTGGGATTCAATACTCCTTAGGAGTCGTCGGGCCATAGTCACTGTTCTCTAACGCTGAAAATGGTTGTCGGACAAGAAGTTGATGACCGTCCCCAGCAACCCCGAGAAGGGCTGCGCTTTTGGTGCGTTTGACTAAGCCATCCATGTGCAGAGGAATTAATTTTGGGGTGCCCAACTGTGGAGTTCTATGCGTCAACGGAGCAAGGAAAGTCAGACTACCCCTCTGATCTGTTCTCCACCATCTCCGTCGAATGCGCCTAAAACGTCAACGAGGCGCTAACCAGCCACTCACAACTGTCAAAATCTGGTCTGGTGTTGTAGGTTGGGAAGAGAACTTCCCACGTTAATGCCGGCTTCAAATTATATACTTGAATAACTGTCAATATTCGCTATCAGCTACTGTCGTAAAGCGGATGAGGATGAAATTGGGAGACACTCACCAAAATGCCATTCTTTGGAAAGCACAAAACCGCGTGTCATTGGGAGACGCAATGACTATTGTCTGCAGATTGGTTTGGGTCGACTCCTATGGCGTGGTCCGGGTATAACATCGACAGTGGCCCTAAAAAAGAATGGACACCAACTTTCTTCGTGAACGTTCTGCTCAGTGGCCGCATCCCCAGCGGCCAAACATTCCCCGGAACTCCAGATTTCTCGAACCCCTCAAGCAGCATCCCGCGAAACGTCGGAAACAAAACGGCCAAGGACACCGAACATCTAAGGGTACCTTCCCCATTCTTTCCAGGGATCCTGCTTTCTAGAAAACCTCCGGACACTCAGGGAAAACGGCCGGCTTTTCTTTCAAAGAACGATGGCTGAAAAGAATGGACAAGGAATCAAGCCCTAGAATATTTACCAGATGGCTCTCCTCATTCCATCAGGGTGTGGGCCAAAATTAGACCACCAGGGGACCACAGATCAAAAGTAGCTCCGAACAAAAACAGCATCTCAACGCCGGGAGCCGATCCGAAGGCCCAAGGCCCGGGTCGCGGCGCCTACCAGGGGCCATGTGTCCCCCAGCGAGGTTTCGAAGAAGACCTGCCCGACCAGTACTCACTTCTGCAGATGGCCCAAAAAAAGGTCCACACTTTCTACTTGCCACTAAAACGGTCTTCCCAAAAAGTGTCTCTGGAGTCCGAAACGGAACTCAAGAAGGGAGACTAAGGCCATTTTGGCCTAAACACGGCTTCTTGACCCTTGACTCGTTGGGGGCCGGCCCTATCATAGCCTTGCGACAAGCCAAGGGACCTCATAGTCGTCGCTGGGACTTCGTGGCACACCATGTCTGCAGCCTGAACACCTAGACACGGGCCACACGGGCCATTGCTGACGGAAAGGAAAAACCCACCAAGGAAGACCCTTCATAGCACCCAAAAGCACCCTCAAACATGAATCCGCCCACTTTTGAGACAAACTTGCTGTCTCTCAGTAAGGAGTCAACATGGTTTCTTGAGAAGCAGAACCATTTGGAGCACCCTTGAAGAAAACACGAGAATAATAGCGGTCATTCCCTGAGAAGCGATCGCTAGCTGGCCTCAGGTTCACCAAGGGATCCACCTTCGAACAAGTGGTGGGTGTGCTTGTCCCTCCCTTCCCAGCCAATCCGGGGTTCCAGTTGATGCTGACCCGAATTTCCGCGAAAAGTGATGAACCCCCACCAAAAGAAGACAACACCCTCTAATCAACCGGGGGTTCATTCATCCGGGCTTTCAGTTGGCAGCAGGGTCTCCTACATTTCCCCTTTAACCATCACCCCACCCAAAGGAAACTCCCTGTGAAAGGCGCCTAAAGGTGATGTTTGAAGCCACCGGAAAGGGACATCTCGCGATCCCTGAGCAAAAAAAACGCGAAAGCGGGAGCAAACCCGCCTCAAAGCGCTGGCGCAGGTGGCCCCCGTGGCCTCATGCGATTTTGGGGCGCCCACATGGGCGTCCGGGCGGTTTTCAGGGTTTGGAGGTGGACAAGGGGAGAAGGGGATGAGAAGGGGATGAGACGGGGAGGAGAAGAGGAGGAGAAGGGGAGGAGAAGAGGAGGAGAAGGGGAGGAGAAGGGGAGGAGAAGGGGAGGAGAAGGGGAGGAGAAGGGGAGGAGAAGGGAATGAACAGGGATTACGGAAATTGAAGGGGTTAAGGGAATCAAGGGCTATGTCCAGGCGTCCACCGTTCTTTTCGGGACAAAGGGAGCCAATGGCGGCCGAAAATTTGGAGCTGACCACTTTGGGCGTTTTCAGGCGAGGTATGAAGGTTACATGGTCCCGAAGTACGGCTGTTGGATGTGCTCATGTGAAAGATTCGATTCGACTGTCGAGGATTGCTTCATGTGGCTCAGGGCATTTTGCGAGGTGGTGACAGCTATGAGCAAGTTCCCATTCCCAGGCCAGAAACAAAGGAGCCTGCCAAAAAAGACACTTCATCACGGGGCTCGCATTCCGGACGCAGGTACTATCAAGGTCACTGCCGGTGGCTTGTTTCAAGGTGTGTCTACGGGTTATGCGTAACCTATGTATACACTATATACTTAGTACAATATACATATCACTTAAGAAACCAACAGAAAAAGGCTTCCCATGGCCTCAAAGTGGTGCAGGATATGGTGATATCGTCCATCCACCGTGTGTATATATACATATATATATATACATGTATGTATGTATGTATGTATGTATGTATGTATGTATGTATGTATGTATGTATGTATGTATGTATGTATGTAGGTAGGTAGGTAGGTAGGTATGCATGCATGCATGCATGCATGTATGTATGTATGTATGTATGTATGTGTGTGTGTCTGTATGTATGTATGCATGCATGCATGCAATGTGTGTGTGTGTGTGCATGCATGCATGCATGCATGCATGCATGCATGCATGCATGCATGCATGTATGTATGTATGTATGTATGTACGTATGTACGTATGTGTGTATGTGTATGTGTGTATGTGTGTATGTGTGTAGGTGTGTAGGTGTGTAGTATGTGTGTATGTGTGTATGTGTGTATGTGTGTATGTGTATGTATGTATGTATGTATGTATGTATGTATGTATGTATGTATGTATGTATGTATGTATGTATGTATGTATGTATATGTGTATGTATATGTATGTATGTATGTATGTATGTATGTATGTATGTATGTATGTATGTGTTTTGTGTGTATATATATATATATATATATATATATGTATCACTTGTTCATGTGATACCTGATGTGTATCTATAAATGTATGGCCAATTATATGTATATGTATATATGATATGTAGCCTGGTTGCAACCCGTGATTCCTTCAGTAGAATAATAATTGGAACCAACTTGTTTTTGTTGATTCCAGGATTAGCGGGGGAAACCAAACAAACATTCAATTGTTGGGGACTCGCCATGTTGGAACAGTTTGAACACATGTGTGTTCCATGATTGGTAGGGCAACCAAGCACACAAAAGGGCACTAGCCTTTTTGCGGTCGAGCTGTGTTCGATGGTTGATTATTTGGGTGGATGGTTGATTGAACAGGGCGGCACAACAAAAGGGCACAAGGGCGGACGTTCAAGGAAAATCAAAAGCGCTCGAGAAGGGTTGACTTTGAAGAACCCCAAAAGGGCCAAGCAAAGCTGGCAGCAGCTGGGACACACCCCAGCTATGTGTCCAAACCCTTAAGGTCAGTGGCTATCGACCCCTGCGCAACCTCTCAACTTTTGGTGGTGAGAAGGCAAACTACCCAACAAATCATGGAACAATTACAGACTTGAAATCGAATGGTCCAAATAAATGGCGGGCGTCCTTTTATTTACCATGTGGGGCTCTCAGGTCTCAAGGCAGCCAGGGAGCAGTCCAGAGCCAGCTGCACGTTGCACTGCTGCGGCACATCTGGCTTCGCCACCTGCCAGGAAACATATGTTGGTTTTCTGGTCGGTTTACCGCCCAAACTCAGTGGATTCCTTTTGGCGGCTGTCTTGGACCCAAATGGGGCTACCGGGTTTGGTCGCATTTCGCCTTTCCCTGACTACGGCTTCAATAGCAGAACTCTTTCGATGGGAACCCAAAAGCCACCGGGAGTAACTTCAGCTGTGAACCAGACCCAAAAAGCGTACATATTTATATACATACATAACCCCTTCCTCTTCAGGGCCAACCTTTCTACTTTTGCACAGAAGAGGATCATTTTCCGATGTTCAGTTTCCACTTGCTTCGCAGGCGCGCGGCAGAAAACGCGGTAATTTAAAGTGTGTTGGTAAGATGTTTGTATTGCGCAAGGTGTTGCTTGTGCGACTGATGCGAAACGCAAAAAAGAAGCCGGCAAAAAAACAACATGAACACAGAAACCCTATTTCCAAAGAATCTGACTCCAGGGTACAAAGCGTTTAAGAAGAAACGTCAACGCTTCCCAGGGCTCTCCCCTGCGTCGCCGAATTCCCAGAAAGGTGTTGAAGAATGATGCGGATGAGCAAAATGTGGCCATTGTAGCAATGAAAAGTTGAGGGGTTGAATCATTGAGGGTTACCATTCCGTCTTGTGTGCAGGGACTTCAAGGGCACAC